CTCTAAATAAATCAGTTGCTATCCAGTTGATAAGTCTTTTAAGAAACATCTTCGGGTCAAAGTTTAGAGTACGTTACCCATTTAAAATTAAAAGAAGTTACGAATTAACTCATAAAAGTATTCTGCTGGTGCCCCATCTTCTACCCCATACCTGACAATACCCTGGCCACAACTCACCTTGGGCCACGATCCCCAAAAGACCAGGAGTCCTGGCCCTCGCGATCTGTCTCTCTGCCTTTCCCCATTTTATCTTCTAGGTGTAGAAGTCTTAGCACCTCAGGCCTACAGATGCTTCAAGAGCTTTTGAAAATGAACTCCAAAATATGGGGGGGAAACCTTGCAAAATCAGAATCAATAAATGTTTAATTAAACATCTAGAAGACATAACATTACATCAAGTTCAGCAGCTGCTCCATTTAGTCATCAAACAGTTTTCATTATACTTCATTATATTTGAAACAAATTTATAGGTGAGGTCTCTTCATTGTGCAAGAATTCCCAAGAACACTGGACCCTCGGTGGAGGAATTGTGGCCAATTGTAATTAAATGAATTTCTTGTAGGCAAAGAATTTTGGAAGCAGCATCATCAAAAAATCTTTTGATTATAAAAAGAAAATTTAGTTGTGAATTCATTTCAATCTATTTTGGGGGATGTGGGGAAGGACTTCTAAAAAGAGTCAGTGGGGGAAGGAAGGGTGTGAAAGCAGCCTGATGCTGGCCACAGGTCCCTCCCCTGGACTCCACACAGCCTCCTTGTGGCCACAGCCCCTCCCCCCCCAACCTCCTGCCAACGCTCTCTGGCACCCCTGCCGGCCTCTCCCAATCCCCAGCCCACCTTGGGTGAAAATCTTCCAGGAACTCTTCCTTTGCCCGAGGGAAGATCACAAGTTTCAATCACAGCCTTCGATGCCCTGGCCCCTGGCCAACTCCCTGACTCATGTGACCCCTGCCCAGCTCCCCTTTACCAGCCAGCACTGCTGGGATTTGGGAGAGGGGACCCAGGACTTGGCCTGAGTCACCTATCAATCCCTCGAATGGGTAGTGTGGCCTTTTCTGCAGCCAGGAACTGGGCGGGGGGGGGGGGGGGGGGGGGTTTTCCCCCCCCAGGGCCCTTACCCCCCCCCCCCCCCCCAGGAGCCTGTGCAGCCGGCCACTGCCAGGGTCCCATGATCCAGGGACAACTGGGGGGTCGGGGCTTTCTCCCCGCAGTGCCCTTACCCCACCCCGCCCCCCCACTGGCTCCAGCACTTCCCCTGGGATAAAGGAGGCACAGGGAATGAGTTGGTGCAAGACCAGATGAGTAAATGGGACTGCTTGTCACTCAGACAGGGACAGGTGGGTCATACCATGAAGATACGATAGCTCCTGTTTATTGAGCACAAGCTACGTGCGCGGTGCTCTGTTGGGACATTCCGGAGCAAGATCTCGGATTAGCTTTGCCACCAGCCCAGGGTGGAGCTGCTGTGATCCCCTTTTACAAAAGGAGAAATGGAGGCTTAGAAAGAGTAGTGACCGGCTCCAGGCGCAGAGGTACGAGATCGGGGCCTGGGGATCAGAACCCCAGGTCTAACCGACGTGATGACCCAAGGGGGCTCACTGAGCTCTGCCCTGAAGGTCAGTGAACGGAGCCCAGGCAGATGCCTTTGGGGGCTGCACGGAGAACCCGCTGCCCGCTGCAGCCCCTGGTTGGGTGTTTGCCCCTTGCCCTCCGCTGGTAGCTCTTGTGATCTCGTGCAGTCCCTGTCTCTGGCCACCTCTGGCTCTCTGCCCTTTGCCCCTGGCCAAAGACACATTATTGCCCCCGTTTGGTGCCTTCAGACCTTTCCACTCCCTCCCCCTGAGGTGAATTCACAGAGGAACCCTGATCATAACATCCAGGCTGCTGGGTAGAAAGGAGACTGGGTTTTGCCAACACAATGTGCAGTAAAAATATCTCTCTTTTAAAAGAGAGAGAGAGAGAAATTTAAAGACTAGAGATCAGTAACGTAATTATCATCTGGTTTGGGCGGAGGGTTCTAATAGTTTCCAGAAAAACACAAGCCATGAAAAAGGAGTGTGCTTTCCAAGGCAAAAAGGGATCTGGGCCCCAGCAGGCAGTAGCGCCGTCTTGGAACTCCTGTGGGCTTTGAGGTCCTTCCCAGGCAGAGTCGGGGGTCACCAGAGTCCCTGTCTCCCTTCCTCTCCCCTTTTGTCTTGCATGCTGGACGGGAGTCTCTGAGAGTGTGGGAACTACCTTTGAACTCAGCCTCGGACCTGCTCAATACATAAGCTCGGGAGAACAGATATACTTCAAGGCATAGAGGAGGTTTCCTTGTTCCTTTCTTGGGGGGAAAACAGAGCCTTGCAATGGCAGGGACAGCTAAGTATCCTCTGATATCTGTTGTCACCTATTTGGAAGTTAATCAATCCCCTAATTTTAGCTAGGTGCATGGTGGCCCAGAATAAAGATCTTTCCTAGCCTCCCTTGCTGGGCCATGGGACTGATGGATGTCAGGGGAATGTCTGTGCAACCTGTGAGTATTCTTAAAGGAGAGGTACCTACTCTTCTTCCCTTGCCTCCTTCCTGCTGTAAGGAATGCGGTTGTGATGGCTGGAGCTTGAGCAGCCGTCTTAGAACATAAGGCCACAAATGGCAGAGCAACAAGATAGAAGGGGCCTGGGTCTCAACACTATGGTGTGCCACACCACACCTGGACTGCCTACCAGACTGTTTTAGGAGAGAGACACAAGTTTCTGTATCGTTTAAGCCACTGATATTGCAGTTAAAGACAAACCTCATAGTCAAAATTACCTTGAAAGTCTCTTAAATTGAGAAGAGGAAATGCAAGCTAATTAAAACTTTAAAAGTGAGAACCCCACTCAGTGTGGTGAGATGCTCACAGCAGGTACATGGCTTCCATGAGTTCCAAATTGCCACAAAATGCTATGGAAGATGGAGCCCACCCACATTAAATTGTTTTTTCTTTCTCTTTCTCTCTTGCTTCCCCCCCCCCCCCCACAGCATCTAAAAGTTATATTATGGAGTTATGGAGATCCATCACATCACATTTTCTAAATGATGCAAATTTTGTGAACATCAACTAAAGCTCAGATAAACATGCTTTTTCTTATCTATTATCTTTGTTTTATAATTAAAGAAACCAAGGCTCAGGGAGGTAGTGACACACAGCTAGGGAGGGGGTGATGGGGACACAGGGGCACCGGAAAGGGCCATCCAAACATGTCCAGACAGACACGGGCCAGAAGCAAAGTTGACCCTCAAATCAAGCTTGAGTTCCTCAGCCGGACCTGCAAGCCCACCAGGCACCCTAGTCAAGGCCTAGGTCGGGGTGTCCATACTAAGAGGTCAGCAGCACGCAGGGAAGGAGCCAAGGAGCCTGTGTAGGAGAGGCCTGGGGAATGGGGATAAGCTGGGGTACAGCCAGATGGAGTTGGGGTTTTTCTAGGGTGGGGGACGGGTGAGAGGCCCCCCCCCCCAAATCAGAGGGACCGGACGAGGGAAGCCGTGACGCAGGCTGGTGAGCGGGCGCCATCTAGTGGCTAGTCCAGGCACGGCGCCTCCCAGCCTCCCGCAGGGACTCAGCAAGAGCCCGGAGGGCGCCCCACAATCTCCCTCAACACCCCCAGTCACTTCGCATTTAAAATTAAGACTGTCAGTTTACATAGAGATACACGTTTCTTTGGTTTTACATGAAAAAAGGAACAAAAGCATCATCGTGGCTTCCTGTTTTTATTGAGCTGTCCAACACTCCCCCTTTGGTTGGAATGAAATCACCCGGGACTCTCGGCCCTGCCTCCCGAGATTGGGGTTTAAGTGGCCTGCGTGTGGACTGGGCATCAGGATTTTTCCTGCTTGCTCTGCAAGGACAGCTTTGAGTCAAGTCTCCGGGGCCCTTTCCATGGCTATTCTTGCTCCTGAGCTCCTCCCTTTGCAGAAATGCTAGGGATGGGGGTCCCCCTGGGATCCTGGGCCTGGCACCCCCTCCCCAGCTTCTGCAGCTGGGATCCCAGGCCCAGGGGCTTCCAGGGTTGAGTTCTTGACACTCTGGGCTGCCTCACACAAAGCCGTTCACCTCTGTAGACCTCAGTTTACCGTTCTATTACCTGGACCAGAACAGTGGCTCTGAACTGCTGGGGGCGGGGTGGGTGTCAATGGCCCCTTGGAGAATTTACAAAAGCGATGCATCCTTCTTCCAGAAACAGGTAAGTGGATGTCCAGCTGTGTTCATGACTGTAGGAGGCATGAATTAACCCTTTTAGTCCTCACTACCACCTCCTGAGGTTGCTACTTGTATTAGCCCATTTCATAGATGAGAAAACTGAGGCATAAATAGGTTAAATAACTTGCTCAAGGCGCCACAGACAGTAAATGGTTAGAACCCAAGCATCTCTGTGGCCTTGGACAAGTGGCCTCACTGACCCAAGCTTCAGTTTCCTAAGAAAAGAGGCCACTACTAGCCCCTACCCGGTAGATGATTCAGGGGCACACGAGATTGGAAAGCACATAGTAAGTACTCATTAAAGAGGGTTGTTGTTTTGATATGCACAAACGCAGGCACCCACCCATCCACCCACCCAGGTGTCTTGGCCTGAGTGTGGGGCTCAGGATGGGCAGTGGTGGGAAGTCCCCTGGCCACAGAGGAAGCGCTGGTCTTGCCCAGCTCAGCTGTTCCCTGCTAGCAACTAGCTGGAGGCCTAACTGTGTCTTGCTTATCAATTTCGTTTTCGATTTTGTTTCCTTCAAAAGCCACACACGGAAGTTTCGTTTTCTTTTTCTCCAGAATCTGATCAGCTTGGGCTGACTAGGCATCTGTTTCGGGGGGGTGTGAACAGCTGACAGCTGGCTGGGTGAAGCTGGAATATCTCCACAGCTGCCAAAGCACCGCCAGGACCACAAAAGCACACCCAGCCTCGACCGGGCCCACCTTCTCCAGGCCACGGGGTCGGGGAGCCTGCCACTGCCCTCAAGTCACCTGGGCTCCCAGCAGCTGCTGCCAGCATGGCTGAGGCCCCTGCCAACCCAGGAGACGCAGGTACGTTCTTACTTCTAAGGAACAGTGGGAGTGCCCGGGTGGGACTTGCACCTTCTCTCTGGTTCCTTTTCTTGGTCCAGATTACAGTCACGAGAGGACAGTATCTGAAAGCACAACAGTAGTAAGAAAGAGGGAGAGAGGGCACTGCATCAGGTTCAGAGCCTCGCTCTGCCCAGGCATCTTGCAACATGCTTCGTGTGCATTTTGCAATAACCCGCAGGCACAAGCCCGATGAGGTTTCCATCTTACGTGTGAGATCACTGAGGCTTGCAGGTGAAATGACTCAGGGGACCACGGCAGAGCCTGGGGCCTTAACACCCGTCTTCACACTCATTTTGAGGAAGAACAGAAGTTGTCTGCTAAGAGGGGCAAGTGCATGTATGTGGTTTTCCTCCTGCTGCTGCATTCATTCCTCGGATAGCACTCTATTCCTGGAAGCACATGATGCAAGTTAACTGTTATTGAGCAGTGCTTTTTTCTAGGGTCCCCACTGAAAGCGTGAGGGCTGTGGGCTGGGATGCTTTTTGTTTGTCTTTTTTTTTTTTCTTTTTTTTTTTAGTGGTACGCGGGCCTCTCACTGCTGTGGCCTCTCCCGTTGCGGAGCACAGGCTCCGGACGTGCAGGCTCAGCGGCCATGACTCACGGGCCCAGCCGCTCCGCGGCACGTGGGATCTTCCCGGACCGGGGCACGACCCCGTGTCCCCTGCATCGGCAGGCGGACTCTCAACCACTGCGCCACCAGGGCAGCCCTGTTTGTCTTTGTTTTGTGATTGTTAGCTATTTAATCCTCACCACAATCTCTGAAGTAGATGCTATTATCACCATTTCACAGATAGAGAAACTGAGGCCCAGAGAGGTCACATAGCTAGTAGGTGGCAGAGCTGGGGCTCGAACCCAGGAAAATAGGGTGTGCTGGGGAGGGGTGCCGACTGGGTGTGACCCAGGACCCCGGGCTGGTTCCCAAACTCCTGTTGCACTTCCCCAGCGAGACATGTCAGGGGCACTCGGTAACTGAATTTAACTTGCCCCCTGGCAGATTTTCCTTTTAGCCGACGTGTCACTTACACCTCATCCGTTTCACAACTTCCAGTTCACCAGCCTGAAGACTCAGCAGGTGATGCCAGCCCTGCCATGGACCCCATTTCCTCTTTGAGGTCAGGGCACTGGAGGGGGTGGAAGAGGCTCCCCCAGGGGCAGGTTTTTTAAGAATCAAAACTCTTTTTAAAACTAGGCAAAGCCACAGTGGGTTGGACGGGTATCCCGGTTGAGGGGTAGTTTGGTGGGTGAAGGGGTGGGTGACCCCACGTGTTCTAATTGCACATCACCTGCGCCCAGAAGGACGCAAACATTCTGACCACAAGGGCAAGGCCACGGTGCCCGGCGCAGAGCTGGCGAATGGGTTGTCCCTTCCCCCGCTAAGTGCCGCCCACTAGGAATCCAGGAAAAACCCAGCAGGTAACGGATTGGGTTGCTGCCCTGGAAGGGGACCTAGGTCTTCCCAAGAAGGGCCCTGCTTTGCATTTCCCTCAGGGTTCTCGGGGCAGACATTTCCTCTCCCCAGCTCCTGGCGCTGCAGGCCCCGCGTGTCTGACCAGTTCTCTCACTCCCCGCAGGGCAGCTGGCTCGGGTTTATGGGAGCCTGTCTGGGAGGAGTAGGGGCCATTTGGAAAGTTCCTCGTTGAGCCTCGAGGCATCCTGCTTAGGACCATTAACTCAGGGGAGGAAACAGAGGCCCCGGAGGAGCTACTCATCCCTTGCCCAGGTCATCTGGGCACACACCTACCCAGTAGTGTACGCTCACTTTTTCACTCAGTCACTCCTTCATTCAAATGCTATTTCCTGAGACCCTACTGTGTGCCCGGCCCCATGCTAGACACTGAACCACTACACTGAACCTGGCAATCACAGCAGGGGATCCTTGGGGACACTCTGCAGGGGACCCACACACACCCAGCACCCCACCCACTCAGGGCATCCAGGACAGCCTCCCAACGATGGAGTCTGAGCAAGACCTGAGGTGGAGTATCCGTTGGACAGGTGGAGGTAGGGAACATTGCTCCTAACAGAGGGAAGAGCATGTGCAAAGGCCCAGGGGTGAGTGCGTCTGAAGGGAATGCAGACAGGTTGGCCCTTGAAGGGAAGCTGAGGGCGGGTGAAGACGAGGCTGGCAGAACCAGGAGTTAGTGTCGTTGCTGTCATCCAGGCGATGGTGGTGACAAGGAGTATAGGAGGTAGAGGCAGCGCAAAGGAGAAGAGAGGATTTGAGGCCGCCAGGGACAGTGTTGCTAGGACTCCGGGATTGGGTGTCAGGGTGAAAGATCCATTTCTGAGCGGCTGTTGGGTTTCTGGTGGGGATAAATAGTGGCGTCGCCCGAGTGGATTGTGAGCCCAAGAGGACGGGCAGATTCCACTGGCAGAAGGATGGGGGATGGAGGACGCCGGGGTGGGCCTCACTCCCCCCTCTTCCCCCGCCCCGGTCCTGTGCTCTGCCCCACCCCCCAGCATCCCGCCGCCTCCACTCCCCTCTCTCCGAGGACGTCTGAGAGCTGAGCGTTCCCACCTGCCCTCCGGCACTCACTCAGGTGGGGGACGCTCGGAAGGCCTGGCACCACCTCTGGCCGCCAGGCTGTCCAGCCAAGGTCATTTCTGAGCAGCCCATGTGCCCCTCCCTGTACAGAGATGCTGGTGGATGTCTGCTCAGACCTCTGTCCCTGCCTCTGCCCTGGACCCCTCTCCTGGGGGGCCGCCAGCCCAGGCCGGGTAGTTGGGGGACTCAGTTCTGTCTCTGCCCCTGTCTCCATCCCCCAGACCTTGAGCAGAGGATTTTGGAGGTGCTGAGGGACTCTGGCTCCCCCATGAAGACTGCCCAGCTGGTAAAGAGCTGCCAAGTGCCCAAGAAGACGCTCAGCCAGGCCCTCTACAAGGCGCAGAAGGAGTCACAGGCGGTCCTGCTCGTAGGTCCTGCGACGTGGTGCTTGGCCGATGGTGGGACCAAAGAAATGGTTCCCGCAGAGCTGGGTAACCTGCCACCCAGGGACAGGGGCAGTTGGAGGGGGTGGGTGTTGGACCCAGCACGAGCAGTCCTGGCAACGGCCTAGCCCAGCTTTGGGCCTGGGTTCAAATACAGGCTCTGCCCTCGGGGACACATGATGCACCCTCACTGCATCTTGATTTCTTTTTCTGGCCAGTGGAGGTAACAGTAGGGCTGCTTTGTAGGGTTGCGAGAGGATTTGATGCAGAGGGCTGAGCCCAGTGCCAGTATGTAGTAGGTGCTCAGCAAAACATTAATAATGATGATGATGGCAGTAACGATATGATAATAATAGAAGAGCCGTAGCATCGCACGAGATCTGCTTTTCTAGTTCTGGTGCGGTGCCCGGGGGTCCTCTGGCCCGCACACAACCCCAGAGGGAGTAGATGGTCTTCCCCCCAACCCCAAGCCACACAGCTGGAAGGGAGCGGGGCGGGCTTTGAAGCTAAGTTCCTTCCGAGTTTGGAGCGTCCATGCGCTAGGGGCTTCTACGGAGCAGCCCACCTCTGTCTGGTAGGGTCTCCATCCCCTCTCCCGCTCGGCTGACCCCTGACCGTCTTTCTTCCCAGCAGAGAGGCCCCAGAAAGATGCAGTCGCAATTCCCCGGGAGCCTGGCCCTGAGCTCAGTCAGCGGCGTAAGCATCTCATTTCCTTTCAGCTCTTGTTTCCTCTGACCCCAAACTCTCCTTGGCCACTCGAGAAGTTACAAGTGTTCAGGGGCCACGCCCCACCCACTAATAGGTCCCCACAAAGTGTTCGGAGGCAAGACCCTGTCTTTCAGTGAAAGAAGCTAAACGGCTGAGAAACCATTTGATGGGTAGTTGGCAACTACTGTGCACCTAGCACGTGCCAGGCACTGTTCAGAGCCCTTGACGAACATCCCCAACCCCCAGAACAACCTCTGTGGTCCGTTATAATTATGCCCATTTTACAGATGAGGAAAATGGGCACAGAGGCTGCGTCTGTCCCAGGTCACACAGCTGGTAAGCAGGGGAGCAGATTGAGCCTGGGGGTCCTCCTTAACCACTTGCTGTCCTGCCTCCCAGAGAAAGAGATCTTCTGGTTTCTGGAAGCCCATGGGCCCCATAGAGCCCTGGGAATTGCCCAGGCCCTGGGAATGAAGACGGCAAAAGAAGTCAACCCAGACTTGTACGCAATGAGGAACAAGCACCTCCTGGACTTAGACCAGAAATCAAACACTTGGGCTATTTATCGACCAGGTAGGCCCTTTACCTGCTGCCCACACCTGGATGGGGCAGAGGGCGGAGCTGGGAAGAGAAAGCATAACACCCAACACCTGGTCCTTGCTGGGCTCCCGCTAAGCTCTTTGCCTGCCCCACCTCGTCAGAAGCTTGCTGTGCTCTTGCTGACCCGTCCCTGGAAGAGGGTTCCAGGAGGGAGGGGCATGCTGGCAGGAGTAACCAGGGAGGGCTTCCTAGAGGTGTGGCCCACCCCTGACTGTATCCGTCCTGGGGCGCAGGTCTCAGCCTGAGTTTGCTAACAGTCTTCTGTAAGCACTTTGCCCAACCTGGAGTTTTAAGGCTGCTGAAGGAGTAGGCCAAGCTGAGCTCAGGTACCCAAAGGGTAGAGTCCCAGAACCGACTTATCCATTACATGCAGCAGGTACCGGGCCTAGAGCCCACGGTGCTTTTAGGGGGTCACAAAAATGCTCTAGTTTCTCTTAAAATCAGAAGAAAAAAAGGAGTATTATAGTAACAATGAATAGCTAATAATGACTCTAGCCAAGATTATATTTGTCTGTATCGCAACGCAGTCATAAAATGTAATTTAAAATATTTTTTATGGATGTAGGGGCTCACAAAGGCACAGGAGCCAAGGGCTCACGAAGGTGGGAATGTGGCCCCATGTGTGGAGCCCACGTGGGGCTGACACCCCTGCTTATGGTACCCAAGGAGGGTCTCAGCATCCTAGGCTGGATGTTAAACACTGGTGACAAATCCAAATTCTTAAAAATGCCTTGTGAGTCAAGCAAAGCTTATCCCACGGCCAGAAACAGCCTGTGGACGGCCACCTTGCATCCTTCCCTAAAGGAAGAGAGGACCCTGGAAGCAATGGTTAGGGCTGTGGGTTCCTCGCAGTGAGAGGTACAGAGGGTGGGCAAGCAGAAAGGCACCTGCCATCCTCCCAGGGTGGCAGAGGACACAGGGGTAGGGTGACCTGTGGGACAAAGTCCAAGCAAGACTCGTCTGCGATACCTGCAGTGTTTGGTAAACACTCCACTTCCTGGGGCCCACCTTGGACCTACTGACTCACAACCCCAGGGTGGGCCCCTGGGAGTCTGTGTTTTAACCAGCTCCCCAGGAGATTTTGATGCTGCCAACTAGTATTTGGAACTTCTGACTCCTAGAGAGATACAAAGGGATTGAGTGGAATGTTATTTTGCAGAAGGTTCTACAAATCAGTCCACCCCAGTTATTTACCAGCAAAATCCAATCAACGTGATCAGTCAGAATGGACCAAACAGCCACATTTCCATTGAGAACTCCAAAGCCATCCAGATTGGACACAGGAATGTCATAGTGAGTCAAATGGCCTCTGGGGAAAATGGTGAGTCCTCTGAAATGTCCAGGAGAAGGGACCTGTCGGGGCATCTGCTCCATCTGGGTGGGGGCAGGGAGTGGGGGGCATTCAACCTTCCAGGGAGAAAGGGCAGCTTTCAGACCTGCAAGGTCCTTTCTGGCTTTCTCAGGAATAAGGGTGTCCCACCTTGTGCCTGGATCAAACCTCTCCTGCTTTCCCTTCCTGCCGACATCTTTTGCCTCATTTTCATCAGGACCCAATATTTTCCCACAAGAAACAACTCAGTTCACTCTTCCTCTCTAGAATGTCACAAGGGGTCGTTGGAGCATTCTGTGTGTCCCAAGACACTCTTTTTACCCATGTGTTAACATCTCAGAAACTGGGATGCATCGTATGGGTGCATCCAAGCTTTGGTGAAATACAGTAAGCAAATGGGTGCCTGCTCCATGGCGGGCACTGTGGGGGGAGGGGACAGGGTCACCCATCAGTCCAGCCATGGGACGTGAGTGAGAACTCTGGCCCCAAAGTTGGAACGCTCCCTGTGACCTCGAGAGAGCCCTTCCCTGCTCCAGGCCTCAGTTTCCCCAACTGTGAAATGAGGAACTTCATTCTAGAATCTAGATCAGCCTTTCCCCAGCTTTGGTCCTCTGAGCTCCACCTCCCTAATTTTGGCCACGCCCACGGCTGATTCTTTACGCCATGTTGTTAAATGGTTTACTTTTCATTCTACTCAAATTCATTTTAAAGTAAACTACTACAGCATTACCTTGAAAACTACAAAGGTTACCATGAAAATAAATGCTGACAAAATAGAACAATGTCAGAAGCTCTGAGGGCTCCATGTCAACAGCAAGTTAACCCCAAAGGAGACTTTCCCTGATGGGCCCAGAGGATTGAGAACAGCTAGGAAGCAGAGGATGTGCTCATTGTCTGGGTTTTCAATGCCCCAGTGACACCCCAGGCACCAGTGGTAAAAACCCCGGAACCCCATGCTACCTGTTCTGCCGGCCCACCTGCTCTCCAATCCAGACCCTGAAGTAATCACTCCCAGTCTGATGGTGTCCAGAAAGAATCCAGAAGCGGGGTGGGGGGCGCGGGTAGGGGGTAGGGGGAGGTCAGGGGGGGGGGTCAGGGGTCACATTTCTGTGTCCCCTGCCAGGCTCCACGGCTCCCCTCTACCTCCCTCCAATGGCACCCACTGATCCCTCAACTCAGGGTCCCCTGGCTGGATCCTGGGGGCCCCAGGACATCCGGATGGAGAAGTCTGTGCTCAGACATGTACAGATGGGACACGGCAACGAGATGAGTCTTCACGGCAACCCAGCCAAGGGCCCTGCCCACAGCGCCTGTGACAGCCCCCCAGGTAACTGGAAAACAGGCTGCCACCCCACCCCCACCCCACTGCATTCGGCTCCTGGCTAGATGGAACTTGAGCCAGTCCTTGTGGGGAGAGAGGCATGATGGGAAATTCTTTCCGTCCCACCAGGAGGCTGTAGGGCGGGGGGCTCCTTTAGACTTAGCACCTGGGTTCCCATTCCCTACTACCCCCCTCAGGAAACCTCAGTTTCCTCATCTGTACAATGGGCAGGGATCATTTCCTGGGCCAGCTGAAGCGGGAACAGAGGAGATGGCTGGACTGGAACTGGACAGGCATTTAAGGAGCCACCTAGGCGCTGTCACCAGTGACCAGAGCTCCCAGGCCGCGTCCTCCCTGCCACTGGTCATCGAGAGACAGGCTGGGAGGTGGGAGCACAGCAGAGAGGCCTGAGAGAGAGGAGAGCCAGGGACGCCAGGGGATGGGTTTCCAGAGGAGGCGAGGCCGGTGAGATCAAGGGAGGGCTGCAGGGTCCAGCAACAAGGGGTCAGTGGCGACCTGAGGGGAGAGAAGGGGCACGGGGAGTGGAAGGAGGGGAGACAGAGCACAGGCAGCTCTTTCCTGACGTTTGGCCGGGAGAGGCAGGAGTGAGACAGCTGCAGCTGGGGGCTGGGTGGGGGGCCACAGGGAGATTCTAACCAAAGATGGAGAGGGTGTTCCAGAGCTGCCAGGAAGCAGGCAGCAGAGAGACGGGAAGCAGGAGGCAGTAGGGGGAAGGCTTGAGTCCCAGGGGAGGCCCAGAGGACCAGGTCAGCTGGGCTGGGCTGCAGAAGGAGGGGCACCCAAGCTGGCAGAGTCGGGGGCCGAGGGAGCCGGCGGGCCCAGCACGTGAAAGGCATGTGCAGATATGCCGTGTGAGGCCACGCGGACGCCGGCGACAGAGCACGGCCTGGGCCACTGAGGGGAGGTTCCAGGAGGACAGTCGTGGAGGACCTGAGAACCAGGCTGGGGGTCAGGCCCACCGTCCAGCTGCTCTCACCGTCCACCTCCCCCGCCGCCCTCCCCCCAGCATCTCTCTCCTTGGCTGACCTGCAGTCTCTGTCCTGGGTACAGGCCCGGAAGCTTCCATCGAAATTCAAATCCCCGAACCAGGACCTCACTCCGAAGGGGGCGTGGCCCAGAGTCCACATCCGCTCGTGCTTCCTGGAGGACACCACCGTAGGCAACAGCAACAAGATGACTGTCAACCCAGGGGCGGCTGATCCCAGAGGAGTCGCAAGGGCTGGCGAGCCAGGAGGGAGCACAGGTGAGCCTGGGACACCCCTGTGTGTCCTCTTCCCCTCTCTCATTCATTCATTTATTCAACAGTCATGAGCCTCCCATTTCTGGAGTCTGGGAGACAGGAGGGGGTCGTAGCAGGAGCGGGGGCTCTAGGGTCGAACGTGTGGGGTCCACCTAACCCATCACTCAGCTTGGAGCCTCTGTTTCCCCGTCTGTAAAATGAGGGTGATTAGACTAGCCTGTGGCTCCCGAGTTGGAGTGAGGACTGGATGCACTCCCCTCACTGCTGGGACACCTGGACCGGACCAGTGACGTGACTTGCGGTGCCCAGTGCAACCAGAAAAAGCAAAAGGCTCCTTGTTCAAAACTTAGTAAGAATTTCAAGACAAGGACAGCAGAGCAGTAAACTGAGCACAGGCCCCTCTGACCGGGCCTGTGTGACTGCCCAGGCCACACGCCTGTGAAGCTGGGCCTCCCTGGAAACTTCTGGAACATGATCCCTCCTCAATTCTTATCACCCACTTCACTGATTCTTGCCCCCAAATAATGCTGTAGCCGCCTTACGTTTCTTCCCCGTTTCAATTATTAGGAAGAAGTCATTCATTCATTCATGCACCCACTCAGGCCCCACTCCCGCCCTCAAACGCTCCCTCCCCCGGAGATACAGCTAAGAGCACAAACAGACAAATACTCCCCGCTCACAGGGGCCAGAGTCCAGCATAGGGACTAGAGACAGTCACAAACCAAGCCTTTTGAGGCTTTTAAGACCAACACTATAAAAAACTATAAAACCTGGGGCAGTGGCTGGGCAGTGCCGTGACGGAGAGGAGCTGCCTTAGCCAGCCCGCCAGAGAAGCTCCAGGAGGAGGTGACATCTAAGCCCAGGCCTGTGGGGAAGGAGAAGCCGGCCAAGCACAGATGTGGGAACAGCATTGCCAGTGGAGGGAACAGCAAGTGCAAAGGCCCCGCGGTGGGAAGAAGGGTGACGTCCAGAATCACACACACACGAGCCCAGGGAGCGGAAGGGAGTAGATCCGGTGGGCAAGGCCAGGTCTCTCTGTGCCGGGAAGCCCAGAAGAAAGGTCCGGATCTTATCTGAAGTGACCTGGCAAGGCCTGGAGGGTTCAACCAGGGGCAACTTGATGTGGGGCACGATTTAAAAGTCTGGCTGAAGACAGTCGGGGGAAAGCAAAGGGGGCTGAGGAAGTAGGAGCAATGGTCCAGGGGAGAAAGGATGGGGCCTCGGAGATGGGGACACAAGGTCACCCACGGGGAAGCCTGTGTCGGGGGCAGCAGCCTCAGTCCCGGTGAAGCAAATCGCCTTGGCTATTCGGTAATTCGAGGGGAGGCGGCTCACGTGTTCCTGGGGCCCCATCTCTTCCCTAGACCCTCCCTCCAGAGCTGCACAATCCAGAAGCGAGGTCCCTCCCGGAAGCAGTCAGGCTGCCCCCGTCAACGCTGAGACGCTCATCTCAGAAGAGCTAGCGGCTATGACGCTCTGAAAGCAGAGGTCCTAGAAGTGCAGAAGACACCTGCTGAGCGACAGAATCGCAGAGCCAGTGTCCCTGGAGGGTGGGACTCAGAGCAAGCAGCCTGTAGGCGGACTCCCGCAGGAAGGGCCTAGGGGCCAGTGAGCTCTCTGCTGCCTTCAGTGTCGATTTTTGGTGTTGTTTGTTTTGTTTTGTTTTGTTTCGTTCTGTTTTGTTTGGTGGTGCATGGATCTCTCACTATTGTGGCCTCTCCCGTTGTGGAGCACTGGCTCGGGACCCGCAGGCTCAGCGGCCATGGCTCACGGGCCCAGCCGCTCCGCGGCATGTGGGATCTTCCCGGACCGGGGCACGAACCCGTGTCCCCTGCATTGGCAGGCGGACTCTCAACCACTGCGCCACCAGGGAAGCCCTCAGTGTCGTTTTTGACTGTCTCGCCTCCTGACACGTGGCCAGCGTGCCTCTGCACTTGGGCTGGGCCCGGCGTGGGGCAAGGGCAGGGCTGCTGGTGGCAGGAGCAGGCTGCCAGGGGCCCGCCATCCATCAGGGCCACCCATTCTCTGCCCTTCACTCAGGACCTGACTTCCTCAAGGCCCATCTTGGCCACCTGACCACTTTACCACCTGACCTTTCTAGAACCTTCCTACCTCGGCCTTGAGGGCTAGGGATGGGTCATTCTCTAAAGCTGCCAGAAAAGGGATACCACCAGACAGGTAAGAACCTCAGAAGTCGGCTGTATCTCCCCAAGCACTGGCCAGTGAATTCACAAGGCACAGAGGCCCCGTCTTTTCACTCTTGAACCTCCAGTGTACGCTGGACGGGCCCCTCCACTGACCACCTCCTGAGTACCATGCCCTCGGGCTACAGAGAGAGGAAGACCGAGCCCTGCCCTTGGGGAGTGGTTCACAGTCAGCGGGAGAGGCGGCCTGGGACATGGGCAGTGAGTCCTGAGCAGGAACCATCACAGGCAATTAAAGGAGTGCAGAACAGTAACGCAGACACTGTCCAAAGGGCCCAGGAGGCTCCCCGGGGAAGGAGAAAGCTCTAGGGCTCATCCTTCAACATCTGGCAGAGGGAGGAGGTTGAACGGGACATGGTGTTCTAGGCAGGGGCTCGGCCTGGCCAAAGGCATGATGGTCAGAGCAAGAGGACTTATAGCAGCACAGCAGTTTGGGTGTTGCTAGAAAGCCCAATGCAAAGAAAATGCAAGTGGGAGTTTGGCTGGAGAGGAGTTTGGACTTGATGCTGAGCTCTGGACAGGCACGGTTCCACCTGCGCAAATATTCCAGGAGGAACTGGGCAAGTCCATGCAACAAGGAAGTTGGGTTCATTATAGGGAAGGAAGGCTTTTGTCCAATGGGCCGGAATGGCCCAGCCTATAGGGGGCAAAGTCATCTCGGCCACCACCGTGACCTGGGGCCCCCAAATCCCTCCTTCCTGGGATATCCAGTTCGCAGACATGCCACACAGTGTAAGGGGCTTGAAATGAGGTTTGACTCCTTGCTTCTGTCATTGTTTGACCTCTGGGGTGAGCTGAAAACTAACTGCTTGCCTCAAAGTTTGCCCAAGGTCTGTGGTTAACCAGGCCCGTATCAGTGGGCCATCAAAATGCATCTCAGAACTCAGCCTCAGCTCCCACCTGCAGCCCAAGCCAGAACACTCAATTTTCCTGCGAGATTCCCCTCTCTGTATAATTAATTTGTCATAAACATGCTGACAAAGCATTGCTGGCAGTTAATAGGGGCTGGAGGTGAAGGTCAAAGCTGGTCTCTTCAGGAAGGAAATTAACTAGCTACCATTAAAAGCAAAGAATGATTCAGTCCATCCACCCCCCAATATTTTGCTCTCACTAGCTCATCCACCGTGCCCCCTTTCTGCAATGATACCTGTGCACACAGAACTTGACATCCCTGGAGTTGGATGGAGTCGGCGTGGGGATGGGGGAGGAGGAATTTGCTACATGAGTTGGAAGTGATTTTCCAAAAGCACCATGACCTGCTCACAAATGCAATTCTATTTTCTTTTTCTTTTTTAAAAAATTTTTATGGGAGTATATTTGATTTACAATGTTGTGTTACTTTCAGGTATACAGCAAAATGAATCAGTTATACATACACATATATCCACTCTTTTTTAGATTCTTTTCCCATATAGGCCATTAAAGAATACTGAGTGGAGTTCCCTGTGCTGTACAATAGGTCCTTATTAGTTATGTATTTTATATATAGTAGTGTGTATATGTCAATCCCAATCTCCCAATTTATCCATTCCCCCTTCTTACCCCCTGGAAACCACAAGTTTGTTTTCTACACCTGTAACTCTATTTCTGTTTTGCAGATAAGTTCATTTGTACCCTTTTTTTAGATTCCACATATAAGCAATATCATATGATATTTGTCTTTCTCTGTCTGACTTACTTCACTCTATGACAATCTCTAGATCCATCCATGTTGCTGTAAATGGCGTTATTTCAGTTTTTTTTTTAAATGGCTGAGTAATATTCCATTGTATATATGTACCACATCTTCTTTATCCATTCCTTTGTTGATGGACATTTAAGTTGTCTCCAAGTCCTGGCTATTGTAAATAGTGCTGCAGAGAACATTGGGGCGCATGTATCTTTTTGAATTATGGTTTTCTCCAGGTATATACCCAGGAGTGGGTTTGCTGGATCATATGGTAGCTCTATTTTTAGTTTGTTAAGGAACCTCCATACTGTTCTCCATAGTGGCTGCACCAATTTACATTCCCACCAACCGTGCAAGAGGGTTCCCTTTTCTCCACACCCTGCAATTCTATTTTCTTATCCCAGCTTCTGTACTCCTCTCAGAGTAAGCTTAGACAGGACTCCTCACCTGTGGGGCTTTAGCAGACAGCCAAGTTTAGAGGCTTAGAGCAAGAAAAAGAGTCTAGGGAGAAATCCAGGAGCATTTGGGCTGCAAATGACAGAAACCTAAAAGGGGAATCTATTTACTCATGCAACTGGGAAATCAAGAGATAACTAGCTTCAGGAATGGCTGGATCCAGGGGCTCAAGCAGTATTTTCAGGCCATTTCTCTCCATCTCTCTGAGAGACTCTTTCCAGATGGCTGCCAGCCACCCAAGACTTACAGCCTGTCAGCTTAGCAACCCCAACAGAAAGAGAATTCTTCAAGCCAAACACAACAGGTAGAATGTCCCAGGGAGGATTCTGATTGGTTGAGCGTGGATCACATGCTGATCCTTGAACCAATCAGGGAGAATGGAGTGCTCTGATTGGCTAATGTGGAGTCAAATGTGCTCACCTCCATGGTGGGGGAGGTGAAGGCATCCTGGCTCTCACTGCCTGGCCCACGTTTTTTGACCCACTCGCACGTTCTCTTTCCCACCCCAGCCTGAGACCCAATGGCCTTTGCCTTCTTCAGCTGAGTCTCCACCAGCTGCTGGAGAAGCGGCCCAGCTGGGAAAAGGCCACAAAGCCCAGAGATCACGGGTGTCAGACAGTGGGCGTGAGGGCCGGGCCGCCCCTTACCTGGGCTGCAGAGCCCCTGAAAGGCCTGGCATCGCCTCGGGGAGACAGACCCAGCTCCGCCCACTGGTGGGAGGCATGAGGGTGCAGGGACGCAGAGTCTGGGAAGGAGGCTGCGAGATTCTAAAGGGGAATCCGTTTCACTGTCCTGTCTGTGTGACCCCCATCCCTCACTGCCCATTTGAAGGCTCTGAGCCTCAGCCATTTCATCTGAGGAATGGGCCAGGGAGGCGATTAAGGGCACACAGCTCAGGTGTGTGAGAGTGCCAGACGGTATGGGGGCCTCCGAAGGCTGGGCCACACGTGGGGAGAACTCAGTAAAGAATAGGTAGTTCAGTGGTTCCCCACTGGGGCCCATTCTACCCACATCCTCCAATCCTGGGGGCAAGCGGCATGTCTGGAGCCTTGGTTGTCACGGGGCAGGGGAAGTATTCTGCTGCTGCTGCAACAAATTGCTGCACATGAGTGGCTTAAAACAACATAAACTTAGCATCTTCCAGTCCTGGAGGTCGGAAGTCCCACACGACCTCAGCAGAGGCTAAAATCAAGGTGTGGGCAGAGCTGGTTCCTCCGGAGGTTCAGCGGAGAATTGCTCCCTTGCCTTTGCCAGCTTCCAGAGGCACCCGATTTCCCAGCTCGTGGCCCCTTCCTCTGTCCCCAGATTGAGCAGCATCACATCTTCCAATCTCCCCTCCACCCCCTCCTCTTTCCTCCCTCTTCTAAGAACCCTTGTGATTACTCTCCGCCTACCCCTCCAATCTAGGATAATCTCCCCTCAAATCCGTAATCACAACCACAAAGCCCGGTTCACTATGTAAGGTGACATAGCTTCTGGGGATTAGGGCTTGGACATCATTGTGGGGTGGTGGTGGGACTGTATTCCACCTCCCCCTCCGCTAGGCAGCACCGCCCCACAGCAAAGAACTGTCAGGACCCCAGTGTCAGCAGTGCCAGGTTGAGAAACCCTACATCGGTGACGTTATTATTATTAATATCCTGGAGATAAAAGAATGAGTGGGGCTTAGCATTGCAGCCCTAGGTGTAACCTGAGCGTAACCTCAGGTAAGTCCCATCACCCCTGAGCCTCAGTTTCCTCCTCTGTGAGATGGGCAGAGATAAGGACAGCACCCTCTCCATGGAGTTCCTCGGGAGGATGAAAGGGTATCTCGCACGGTGATTCTCAGCCCTCAGAGCGTCTAACAGATGCTGAGTCCCGATCCAGCCCAGATCGATTGATGACAGTCTCTGGGAGAGGGGCCTGGGCAGCAGTATTTTTTAAAGCTCCATGATCCCAAGGAGCCCCTTGGGGCTGAGATGTCCCTGCCTGGCTCCAGGTGGACACACCCAGGGCACCAATGGACCACAGCCATAGCTGGGACCCCAGAAACCCCCCACCCAGCACCACTTTCTGGCTGGTGTCTGTGGCAGGAGAGCGTCTGTGGGGAGAGGAGCCTCAAGCCAGGTCCCAGCCGACCTCAGCCTGAGAGCCTGCAGTGGAGGACTCAGGGCTCAGCCTGTCACGGCTTTGGTCCGAGCGCCACCTGCTGGCTGGATATAGCACCTCACCAGGCAGGGCTTGTGAACTTCCAGGGTCCCAGTCTGGGGCCAGCCAGGATGGGACCATTCCCTCCCACCAAAG